ACTGCTCCTCCCTCCTCCCTCAGGCAGGCCCTGGTGACTGCTCCTCCTCCTTCGTGTCCATGTGTGCTCAGTGTTTAGTTCCTACTCATAAGTGAGAACGTGTGGTGTTTGTTTTTCTGTTCCTGTACAGTTCCTTTAGGATAATGGCCTCCAGCTCCATCCACGTTGCTGCAAAGGACATGATTTTGTTCTTTTTTATGGCTCCATAATATCCCATGGTATAGATGTACCACATTTTCTTTATCTAATCTACTGTTGATGGCCATACAGTACTTTTATAATTTGAAAAAAATTAGAAGCATAAAAACTGTAATAAGCATTTAACATAAGAAATTCCCAGGTGTTCATGAGCAGTGCGACGACCTTAAAGGAAGCCTCTTGACGGTGTGTCTCCTGGGGCTAGGTCTGAAAGCAGGATGAGGTGTCCTGTGACTGACCTCCATGTGATCCTACAGAATCTCAGGACACTATCCCGCGGGACTCTGCTGCGCAGTCCCGTGGGACCTTAAGACGCTGCTTTTCCTCATGCGTTCCGTACCTCACATCCAAGTGCCGTGTGATTCCAAATCTGTTGAGAGATGTGTATTCAGTGATACAAACTGAAAAATACAACAGAAGCAGGGAAGTGAGAAGCTGCGGAGGCTGGGCACAGTAGCTCACATACGTGATCCCAGCACTTTTGGAGGCGGAGGTGGGGTGATCACTTGCATCCTGGAATTAGAGACCAGCCTGGGCAACATAGCAAAACCCTGTCTCTACAAAAAAGTAAAAAGTTGGCTGGGTATGGTGGCGTGTGCCTGGGGTCCCAGCTACTCAAGAGGCTGAGGTGGGAAGATTGCTTGAGCCTGGGAGTTTGAGGCTGTAGTGAGCCATGGTCGCCCCACAGCACTCCAGCCTGGGTGACAGAGTGAGATATCTGAATCTAAGGGAAAAAAAAGGAGAGATGGAAAGAAATACAACTTTTTTTTTTTTTTTTTTTTGAGAGTCTCACTCTGTCGCTCAGGCTAGAGTGCAGTGGCACAATCTCGACTCAACTGCAAACTCCACGTCCCAGGTTCAAGTGATTCTCCTACCTTAGCCTCCTAAGTAGCTGGGATTACAGGTACGCAGCATCATGCCCAGCTAATTTTTATGTTTTTAGTAGAGATGGGCTTTCACCGTGCTGGCCAGGCTGGTCTTGAACTCCTGACGTCAAGTGATTCACCCACCTCAGCCTCCCAAAGAGTTGCAATTAACAGGTGTGAGCCACCACGCTTGGCTAGAATGAAATATGACTTATTAAGCCTGTAATCCCAGCACTTTGGGAGGCCAAGGCGGGTGGATCACGAGGTCAAGAGATCGAGACTATCCTGGTCAACATGGTGAAACCCTGTCTCTACTAAAAATACAAAACATTAGCTGGGCATGGTGGCGCGTACCTGTAATCCCAGCTACTCAGGAGGCTGAGGCAGGAGAATTGCCTGAACCCAGGAGGCGGAGGTTGCGGTGAGCCGAGATCGCGCCATTGCACTCCAGCCTGGGTAACAAGAGTGAACCTCCGTCCAAAAAAAAAAAAAAAAAAAGAAATATAACTTATTTTAAAAATGTATTAAGCTCCTGCTGTGTGCTAATCTTATTCCCTCTGGTCTGACCCCTCAGTCCTTGAACTACCTGGGGCTTCCTTTTCTTTTCTTCTTTCTTTTAGCAGTGGAGGACAGTGAGGCTGGTTAGGTGAAGTGAGCTCTGGCACACGCTGGCCTCTGCCCTGTTCGTCGGTTGCAGACCTTGTGTGACTTCCTAATTCCATCGCATCCATCTGCAGAGGCCGTGGCAGGGGCTTGTATGATCCCCGTGCTGATCACCCAGACCTGACCCGGGGAGTGGGGGGTGGGGCCTGCAGCCAGTGCCTGTCTCTTCCTGCAGGTCACTACTATGTGCCGCTCCTGAGAGCAGAAGACACATCTTCTCCAGTCATTGGGGAGCTGTGGTCCCCAGACCAGACGGCCGAGGCCTCTCAAGTCGGCCGCTATGGAGGCAGCCCCCGAGACCCTGTGCTGACCCTGAGAGCCTTCGCGGGGCCCCTGAGTCCAGCCAAGGTGAGCTGCTGTGGAAGCTTCTGGAAGCGGCGCCTGGCTGTCCCTACGCTGTGGTGCTGGGTGTTCCAGCCTCTTGCTTTGTGCTTGGTCTCAGGGACTGTGTCCTATGGAACTGAAGGCTGTCCTCAGCTCAAACCATCCAGCACTGAGCTTGTGATGAGAACATTTCCAGAGAAACGTGTGTTCTTGGCTGTGTGGCCTGCTCGCCAGGGCCAATGTGCTGGGGCCACACATCTCAGCAAAGCCCTGTCCTGGGTGTGCACCGCCCATTCTTTCTGTGTGGCTGGCCCTTCGCAGGGCACCTGGCCGGTGTAGGAAGGTTGCCCGCCGTGACTAGGAAACCTCCGTGCACAGGTTCACCCCCGACTGAGTTTCTATAGCTGAGCTCGCACTGGCTTCCTCAGACAAAGTGCTTCAGTTCAGTCCCTCTCCTGGAGGCTTCAGCCCCCTTGGGTTCCACTTAAATCTGATGTTCAAAGAAATTCTTTTTTTTTTTTTTTTTTTTTAGACGGGGT